TAAAATTAAAAACTAAAACTATTTTAAAAATTAATAATTAATTTATAAATATATTAAAAAGATTTATATAATAATTGATAAATTTAATTCAATAGATAGTAATAATAATCTAATAATTATTAGTATTATATGAATTATAAAGATGATTTAAAAATTAAAAATAATATTAACAAAAAATTACTTTATGAAAATTGATATATTATAAGTTTATAATAAAATTTTTAATTTTAATTAAATTATTAAAATTGATAATAAGATAACTATATAGGATTTTTAATTATATAATATTAAAATATATATTAAATATAAATTATTAAAAGATATTAAAAGCAGTTTAATAAAGAATTTATTAAAAAAATTAAATTAGAAATTAAATTAAATTTGTAATTAATTAAGTTGTTAGATTTCAAAATTATCAAATTGTTTATATTAGAATAAATATATAATGTTATAGAAGATATATTATAATTAAAAAAAGGAATCACCTGAAAGATAAATTAAAAGTTTGAATAAAATAAATTTATAAATTTAAAAAGATTATTAAGTATATATAATACATTAATATATTTTTTTAAAAATATAATTGAATATGACAAAAACATTTAAAATTTTTTTTATCATTACCTATTATATAAATTAATTTATAATTATTATTTTTAATAGTATATTGAATTTGAATTTGAATAGATTAATATTGATATTGTTTAAATTATTTGAATTAAATAAAAAAACCAATATTACTAGTAATAGAATTAAAAAAGCTAGAAATATTAATGAATTATATTGAAATAAAATTTATAAGTATAAAATTTATATTTTTATTGAAATATAAATGTTCTGAATGGTTTTAATATAATGATTTTATTATATTATAACAAATTAATATTTATTATTAATTTAATAGCATTTTATATTAATTAATAATTATTATATTGCAATATATAAAAAACATATATGGCATATCTTATTTAAATACAATTAACAATTTTATTAAAGTCAAAAAATTTTTAAAAAATAATTAGATAAATTAATATTTTTATTTTTTTTTGCAATATTTCTTAAATATATCGTTATACATTATATATATAGTAAAATAAATAAATTCACAATTCATGCAATTAAATAACATCATTAAAAAATTAAACCAGCAATAATTTAATGAGTTGGCATATGTGTATTTTTTGTCGGAGATATCGGTGAAAAATCAGATGACCGCGCATAATAAGGTTAAGCATAAGGTTCGCGTGGTCAATAAAATAATTCGATCATTTTCTGGTCGCGCCAGAGATCCAATTATGTCAAGTACTTTCGAAAAAAAATTTTACAATAACAGAACCGAGTTGCGTATAAAAAAAAAACAAATCTGATCGGTCGGCTTACAAGAAGAGAATTTCTTTAGTATGAATTCTTATATTAATCATGAAAAAGCGATTTTGATTGGCCGAATAATTATGCGAACGATACGTATATATATACTTTGACACGAACCTCGTGGATATTTTCTCTTTGCATATCTTTGGAAAATCAGACAACTTTGAGTGTTTCTACCTAAGCTCGTGTAAGAATATACAAGGAGAAACCAGAAAACCCTCTGCAACACCGAAAACCTTTGTCTAAAACATGGCACCTTCCCAAGATTGTAACGCGACCAAAACTGTAAGAAGGCATATTCGCGCCAAACTTTTTTTTTTTACAAAACTGGTATACAAAACTAATAACATTGTATAAATAGGTTGCAAACAAAGTCATTGACCTTGCCTTTTACACCGAGCCCGGATATTGCACGCATCAATATTTCTTTAAAAGGACACCTTCAAGAAATGATGGTTTTGGATACTCCGAGGAAATCTTTATGAGGGCCAAGGGGGTAGAGTTCATCTACAGGCTGTCTGATCGACTCAAAATGTAACATCAAGCCTTTTTTTT